GTGTCTTAAAAGAGAACTAGTCAAAAAATGTTCAAAAGGAGGGGTATAAGTTCACCAGTTGATTATAAAAACAACAAACAACAAACAAACGAAGAATAGTTTCATTTGGGTCGAACAAATATAGGTCTAAAAATGTGAATCTCAGAAAGTTAGTACTTGCATATTAAACCTTACTTATTAGACCATAGCTTAATTATTAGACTATGCTTATTCATTTAACCAGAGCTTAATAATTAGACTATGCTTATTAATTTGATTAGAGGCTATTAATTTAACTAGATCTTATTAATTTAACTGGATCTTATTCATTTAACTGTAGCTTATTCATTTAGCCAGAGCATAGTAATTAGACCAGAAGAAAAAATATTTATCCCTCGTAATCTGCCAAAATAACATTTTTTACTTTAGACTCTTTTAACCTAACATTCTAAATGTGAAAGTAGCTTTTTATTGGATCCTAACTTTGAACAGCTAGCCCCTCATCGTATTACAGCATATTAGCAGGGGTGCCCGGAGAAAACGAGAGGCTTAGGGCAGTAGATCCTTGGGGGGGCCCCCTTCTCTGAAACTATAAGCCCCCCCCCCACACACACACACACACATAGGAAAAACGGAATTAATTTCTCCATGCTATATAAATAATGTATAGCAATTAATTTAAATCAGAGATAAATACACTTTTTAAGTGTTTTGAATGAAAAAAAATTGATGCTCCAATTAACATGAGGCCTGGGGCATTGCTTCAACTGCCCTCTCCCCCTTTTGGACAACTCTGCATTGTGAGGGAGTAAACATTCTAATAATGCTAAGCATTGTGATCAAATTTCACTGAAAGCCAGTCAGTATAATTTTATCATGGAAGATTATTTCTGACTATTCTATTTCTGACTCTATTCCTACCATTTATTTTTACATGTTGGAGTTACAAATTAAAGTTACTGCTCGAATTGATCATCTATGCTATGGAGAGGGGTATCCAGAAGAGTTAAATGTCCATAAACATAATAGAACATTCAGAAAGGCTTCATTTTGTAGAATACTGATTAAACCTTTGCATGCTCCTATGTTGAGTGGGATTTGACATCAAGATTTTTGTTTTCTACTCCAATCTTGAGTCCCATTCGACACAGCTTTTCTGTTAATTTTGCATCTTCCAATGCCATTATATTTTTGGTTGTGGGAAGTTGCAGAATTAAACAGTTATGTTTTGTACACAGATTATTTCAACACTAACAATATCAATGTTCCTTCACACATCGTTTTGATAAAGTGTTATCAGAGACTTGTTGGGAAGAGCAAAGGGGTATGAGAATCAGGGTCACCGATCAACTTTTGATGATGAAGAATGACTCAATGGAAAATTGCACGTAATTAACAAATTTCCAGGAAATAAGCATAAGGACTGTGCATTGTAATCAGGCAGGAAAGAAACTGGTTTTCTGTGAAACATTTTCCACACGACTAGAATTGTACCTTTTGAAGAATGCTTCAAGAGATATCAAATACAGAAGAAATTAAATTTTAAATGTTTTCAAACTTTAGAAAATAATGAAACTTTAAAAAAAATAGAGTAATTGTTTTTAATTAAACACGTTAATGATATATCAAATGATATACTTGATGGCATCGCTAGTTTAGATGTCTGCACTCCTTGGCCAGCATGTAGAATTTAAAGAGAGTTCATGGGTGTGCACAGCCCATAGAATACGAAGCGCAAAGGGTTAAGAAACATAACATGCCTCTCCCACCACCCTCCATTTGTCACTCAAAACCCATGTCCTCATAAAACTCGCCTCTCTCTCTACAAAACTTGTAATTCTTTGGAGGAAGAAAAACCTGCTTTTAAGGGCTTAGGATGTAAGAATGCTTATGAAAATGGAGCAGGTCTAAATTTCCAGTCTCAGCTCTTATGGCAGCTTTTATGTTTATTTATGTCACTTATTCTCCCCGATGTGGAAATTGTGCATTTTTGTCACCAGTTTAAAAGTTTTTTAAACTTTCTTGGAGTTAAATCGCAAATTTGAAATTAATATTGCAATGTAGAATCAAAACTATCATTTATGTGTACACTTGTCCAATTTTTGTCTTACGGTTGAATATTTGGAAAAATTTGGTACTCTATTTATCATTGATATTTTACTTAAAGAGGGTACACTCATATGTGTGAGAGCAGGGAAAAAGTAAGGCGGTTACTCAATTGATTCTTTGAAAAATTAATCTCTGAAAATTGAAAGTTCATTTGCTTTCGATAGATTTGGTAGATAAATATCACTTTGATTTGTGGGCCAGAATGTACTGAATCCAATGCATTTTATTTTAAAAAGCTACAACTTTGTTGCACTGAGCCATTTACAGAACTGTAAATGTCTACAAACTGGAAAATGTCACGCTGCTTAAAACAAAATGGGCCCCATTTGTGAACCACATAAAATAAAAAAATTAAAAACAGTTTTGAACAACCAAAACATGAGGGGATTTATATGCAAAGTGTGAACTTTTTATGTGATTGTAGGGTGACCAATTTGTTTAATTCTGAACCATTTAAAATGGAATGACCTCTTGGGAAGAATTTATTATAGTTTTGTTAACCTACATTTCGTTTTTTCTTTCCTTCATTATGTGCTGAATATTTATGTGGTAACTTTGAAAATGTATGAATGAAATGTATCTAGTGGTGCTACAATAGCATGTACTTGTATGTGCTGTTGGTGTGCTCTGTGGCGTAACCTGATGGAGCCTTTTCCATTGCTCCCCCTCCCCTCCTTTCCCATCAACCTAGACATTACAGCAATCGTCTGATTCATAGTTCGTAAGTGCAGTTTTGTAATGACAGTATCCTCGGATAGGAACTAATTAACAACTCAAATATTGCAGGCAACAATATTTTATCATACAACAATAAGAATTACAAATGTCCATGGGAATATGGAGAGCTAAATATTTCAGGCAGATAACTCTGTTTAAGACTTCTCTTGATTTCGATTTCTCAATTTCAATCTGACATTGAAGAACTATGTCAATAAACCCTTCGCTTTCATTTTGTATTTTTTGTTCTATTGTTCAAAACATTCACAATAGGTTCTCAAGTTTTCATGGAGGCTAATTCTTTCAGGTGTTTTCCAATGTTTGAATCCATATGCTCTTCGTTGTGTGGGCAGCTGATCAGAACAAGAAAGTAGAAGGCAATAAAAACAAAATGCAGACTTTTTCCACTGAAGAATAAACCATGATTGTGTAACATCTTCTCCAGAACAATGTTTTAATTTTCATTTGAACCAACTTCAGTTCACTGTTAAGTGGTTTGTTGGAAGAAATGGATCATGCCAGGCATTTTTTTTAGTTAAAATCCCATGCATATGCACAAGTATCATGGTGACGCACCATCTAGACTCCTGAGTACAAGGTTTTAGAAATGTACATATTGTATTCAAGGTTGTTAATAAACTGTTTATATGTAGCTCATGTTTGTGAGTGTCCATTATTACCTACACCACACTGGCTGGCTGGCACATTAGAAGTCCATGATCTTGCTGAAATTCCTAAGGCAACTCTGTGAATGGTGCACTTATGTAATGTACAATGAAAGAAAATATTTACTAGAAAACTTGATTTTGAGAAACTTCTAGAGATCATTTAAAGTATTTGTTTCCACAAATCCATTAAATTATCAAATATATGTATAAAGTAATTACTTTCTGGTGAGATGTTCTAAAAAATTTACATATTTGTAATATTTGAAAGTCAGAATTTTTAATCAGATTAATCCTAGTGTCATGTGATTGGACATAAGACCTTAAGACTATTCTTTGGCACATATCATGCATGCATTGTGCTCTACTTGTACCAAACGTTCCACCTACTTATACCAAAGAATAAATTCAATACTTTATTCAATTCAAGATGTACAACTGGATCAAACATTTTTAGGAGTTTTCGGAAAAATTGACAAGTTGCAATTGAAATTTATGCAACAACTACTCACCTTTTTAAAACGTTCATAATATCATCTAAAGATCTAATTTTGAAGAACAGAATTCATTATGAAATGTCCATCTTCAATTATGTATTCACAGAAGTTCACTGGCTTCGCTAGCCAAATATCTTAAGTACATTCTGTGAGGTCATGGAGGTTAAGTAACTTGAGATATTGTGGGTTCCTGTATGGGTGACTGACTGGAAAACCCAAGGATCTAATGTGCCGAGCCCGTGGCCAAAGGGATAAAAGGCAATGACAGACTTCAATTGATGATGACTGATGAGGTTAAAGGAGGATTACTCCACTACACATTCAATGTCAGTATGTGGCTATATAGATCAATGTTATAAATCAGAATGTTAAGAAAACAGAACATGTAACAGAACTTTAAGAAAAATCAATTTTTACAATTTTTGTAAGTTTTAAGTAAATATTGAACCAATACCATTTTTATGGGCACAGTTTGCTCTATTCAAGAAAAAATTGGAGCCATTTTTGAGAAAATGTTGATGTTCTTGGGGCTTTATGTATAGTACTCTCAAAATTAAAATATTTCTTTCTAGTTTGCTGATATTGATGGAGTATCCATTTTAGGGAAAAATCTGTGTATGGTTGTGCTCTAGTGTTGTGCACCACTAATGGATGTTTTAAAAAAATGCCCTTTTCTCAATTGGAGACTCCCAAAATGTGAATTTCCATCAAAACCTCCATCTGTTTTACAGCATCACTTCAGTTTCATTATACTGCATGTACTCCGTGTACACTATTGTACAGGGGAGTAAAAGGTGATTGGGTGTTGCTTGTCTGTGGTACCGATATGTGCTAGAGATTTCAAACAAGTTTATTTCATTATATTAATATATCTTTCCTGGAGTTTTCCAAGTTTCTATAAGTTCTAGACAATTCTGTGGTCACAGTAAAAGTTCTTAGGTGGGATCTATCTATCTTAAGAATTTTACCCTGCAATCACAGAATTATATAATTTTAAAAATGTGTTAATTTTGATGATTATTTCTCTCTGCAGGCAGCAATAAAGAGAACTTTATCGGAGTCTGGGTGTCCTCCTCACATTGTGGAAGACCTGATGAGGAATGCACATGAGAGTAATTGGCCTCCAGGTTTGAACTCTCTAAAAACACGACAAACAAATAGACGGCAATATGACAATTATGTTTGCAAGCGTATACCAGGGAAACAAGCTGTTGTTGTTCTCTCGTGTGATAACAGCCATATGAGTGAAGATATGATGGTAGAACCTGGTCTGATAATGATTTTTGCACATGGGATTGAATGATAATTTGATTTGAATTTTGATCTACATTGCATTGAACAATACTTCCAATGAATCAAGATGCAAGTAGAGAGTGTATATGTATGTACGTGTGTGTGTGTGCATGTGCGTGTGTGTTCTGTTTAAATGTGGCATTATGATTCTGATCCATTCCTTTACTTACATCAGTAAAACCTTGTATTTTATTGCACATTATCTCTTTTGCTTTTATATGTTAAATTTGATGTCGGATTAGTTTTGTCCAAAATTGGTTTGCCTGTTAATGATTGTGTTTATTTAAAATGGCAAATGGTATTCATTAACGTTTTATATTTCTGCATAAAATTCAGTGAGTGAAATGTTATTGTATTTAGTAGTTTGTTAAAAATTTTAAATATTAAAATGTCACAAGATTTTAAGTAATCATTTAAAATAATTTTCATCACAAGGTTTTACTGAATTGTCACTATTTTTTTAAATTAATAATTAACTATTGTAAAATGATATTCTTGAAGTGATTCTTAAATTTAATTCCCAAAATTTTATTTGATTACATGAACATACATTTAATGTACTATAGTTGACATGTGGAAAAATCAAAATCTCCTCAAAATAGAAATGCAGAAAAGCAGTGTATGCTGAGTAAGGTCTCCTGTATTGGACACTCATTTAAGTATAATGTTTGCAGCTTTTTAAACGAATACAAATTTTTGAAACTGCATACTTTTTAAGAATTTAAACTTTTATTATAACTTTTAATTTTACTTCTTCTAGCTTTCGTTATAATGATTTTTTCAAATTTGCTGGAAACATGAAACAATGTGTGTGTGTATTCAATTGTATAATAGTAATTTTATTGTATCTTTCAGAAAGTAATAGTGAATACTAAGGGCCTTGTGTTAGATGATTAGTTAATACTCCATTCTATTATTTGCTCTAAGAGGGTGCTCATAATTACAATAAGTACTCTGGTAAAAACAAGACAACTGAAAGTTAAGTTAAAGCTGCAGAAATGGCCATCTATTAAGTGATCACTTCTGTTATGGCCATTTTTTCGTGTAACATTGATTTTGCCTTCAGACAAGTAAATATTTCCTCTATAAAGGGGTCAGTGGCCAGGCACATGGTGTATACTATCCTGCAATTGACAGGCACATCTTTCTGATGATTTTTTGATTTTAACCCTTAACACCATAGAAACAAAGATATTTTTATTTTCACTACTTCCTTATTTGCAATTTTTTTTACATAAAACTAAGGGCAAAATTGTTACTACAAAACAATATATGATGAGAGTAGTTATCCAGAAGCAAAGGAATAATGAATATATTGATTTATGATCTTCCTGCCGTGGGACAGATTTTCAGATTACTTAGAACAATGATATCTAGAATTTCATATCTTGTGAGGGATTCATTTCTGTTTCAGGTAACAAAATATGATATTCATGCATGCTCTGAAGTTTCTTCAAAGCAGCTTGTGGAAAGTCTAGTGGAAAATCAATTCCAAAGGGAAGAAACAAACATAGATCTGAAAAAAATTCAAAATTGTGCAAAAACTGGAAATTAATCGATTTGTTTTAAGTGTGCAAAAGTGAAAACCTTCCAGTATTGTTACATTTATTTGTCACGCAAAGTATTCTTCACTGCAAATAACAACCGCCAGTGCATACATGAGTATAAATAGACCACATGTCTGCTTCCCAAATTCTCATAACCTTATTTAAGCATTCTGTACTAATGACCATTTTTCTCCAAAACCAATAGTGATCGCTAATGACCAGAGGGCGGATTTTAATGAATTGTAATTTTTTTAAATTTTCACTTTAGGACAATGCTGTTTAGTATAGAAATTAATTTTACATTATAACGAAAGGAAATGAATCATTTTTATGTCATGTTTTTGCATTTTTCTTTGATTTTGATGAATAAGTCATTTTTTATCACATCATTTTAGTGCATTTTTTGCTGATTTCATCAATTTTAATATCATTTTCATGATACTTGCTTGAAATAATATTTACAAAATGCAACAAATGTTCTCTACAGAATTCCTTAGTAGCGTATTGAATTTCTTCAGTCATAAATTGTAATGACAGCCGTTGTATGTAATCTAAGGTTCCTCTGTGCCTATCAACCCGTGTCAGTTTGTCTGATTTTGAGATAACTAAAGACAAAGATTTCCTGGTAAAGAACAGTCCAAACCAAACGTTTGCAAGCTGAGTTTACTTGAACAAATGGAAGAAGCCTTGGTTACATCAGTGATGTATCCAAAAGGTTGAGTTGTTTATCTGAACTGATTTTGATCACATTTTTTATATTATTTTTCTCTGCTTTTAGGGCATTTTAAAAAGATTTTAAGAGCATTTTATTGATAATTTTGGCGATGGTTTAGGTTATCAACATCCAACTCCTACTAATGACAAATTTTACTTTAATGTTTCAGGGGTTATTTATCATTTGACCCCATCGATTTTTTCTTGCATGTTTTATGACCCTTAAATTATACTGTCCTCTAGGGGATTTATAGATTTGTTTTGTTGGGTGTTAGAAGCTGCATCTTTCAGTATATGGACAAACGTTCGACAGCCAGTAGTAAAAATATTATTCATTTATGACTTTGAAGTTAGTCCAGTGCTCAGAGCTGCTAAGAGAGAAAATTCTTGACAAAAGGTGGATCTGTAGATGTAAATGGTCTGTCTTCTTAGGATTAAGTAAAGTCTCTTAACAAGTATAAATGCTGCCATGAGGTTATTAGTGTTTGAATTAGTCTTCCATATAGTGAGGTTTATAAGCTAGATAAACCTTTAAAGGGCCAAGTAGGGTTTGGAGCTTGGTTTGGGAAAAAGAACAAGAAGAAAAAAGAAGTGTTGAAATTGAATTTTAATTGATGTGCTTTACATTTCTGGGAATTTCCTTTGTTGGGTTTCATCAATTTTGTTGTCTAGAACTTTGTCAGTTATGAGCCATGATTCCATAGTGAGTTGCATAAAAATTAGGTCAATTACAGTTGTCAGAATGGAACTATTTAAGGATCCAGAGTATTTGAGAAGATTTTTACAATTTTCTGAAATAAATTGCAGGGGAGTACAGCACAAATACATATTAAATTGCCTTTGTTTTAAGAGGCAAGATGTGAGGGCTAATTCCTGCGTAGTTGATTTAATTATCATAGATCACAATAAAGTCCTTGTATTCTTTTATGTGGTACATTTACTAGATTGCTTCATTTGTTCCTAAGTTTACTGGATAACAACTCTGTCATTGAGATGCAATCCAAGAGTTTAAGACTAATAGAAAATCTCAAGACAATTAAAAGCATAGCAATTATCAACCTGTGTGATGACAACCTTAGTTTATTATGTTAATTAATTATAGATTGAAGACCAAAAAGAAAAAGTAGGTCTTTAAAAAAGCATCTGTGTTGTTGTAGCACAAATTAGATTTCCTAAATTATGTAAAAAATGAAGGGGAGAAATATCTCAAAATGTTTTGTTGCGATTAAGCCAAAACGTAATACATTTTTGAAAGTAATATGTTAAATGTTTCAGACCCGACATGCTTCTTTAATATTTAATTTATAACTAATGAATTAATTATCTCTGGCTTAAATTAAAGAAGTTTCTCAAAATATCAAGAACTTTTTGGCTACAAATTATCCAAGAATAGCACTCGATTAAAAATTCTAAAACGTTTTCACAAACTCATATTTTCTCAAAAATGAACTATAAATTTTTCTAAGCTTTATTTTTCTTTAAAATATCCCAAAAAATTTACATTTTATGACCTGTGATTCCATAATATTTAAAAAATGATGGAGAAAACCTATTCTTAGCTCAAATGCAATTTTTTTGATACAAGTTCAATAGAAATTCAACACCTTATGACTGAAAAGAAGGAAATTTTATTTACTGAATGTTTTGAAAAATCAAGTTTGGAATCATAAAGAGATGTTAGAGATGCTGTAAAGCTGTTCAAGCTGTAAAGTGATGGCGGAACTGTTTTATGCCATATGCTTCTGTTTATAAATTGAAATGCTTCTAATTTATGTTACACCTGTAATTGAATATTTTTCTGAATAATGAACAATCTTTTATCTTCTCACAAATCTCTTAAAAAACAAAAAGTCAAAATGTTACCTGTAAAAAGCCTTTATGGAATTTTCAAAATTTCATACTTGTAATGTGGTCACAAACACCTTTCATAGGTCTGCATAAATCATTCCCTGGGCAGAGTTAAATAATTTTCACAACTACTGAGGTGAAATGTGCCAACAATAGTATCTGTAGGATGTTTTAGCCCCAAAAGATGTTTCTTCTCATATGAATGCTGTCAACATTTATGTTAATTAATTTAGATGATATGCGAGAAGGTTGCCAACTACTAAAATATATTGTCCAAAAAGGACAATGGACAAGAGCTAAACTACTGGAGTGTAGATTTGGATTTATTGTTTGCAAAATTGGATGAATATTATTTTGTCAGGTATCTTGGAGTGTGGAAACAAAGTCCAACCAAAGGAAGAGAGGTTGAATAAAGTGAAATATTTGTAAATATCAAAACCAGGAATGATGAAAGGAAAATTCTTTCAAATACTTATAAAATCTAAAATAAATATTTCCTGTTATGTCATAAAATTGCATTTCAAGATGAAAAGTAATATTTGTTAAAATATCCAAACCCTGTCCATAATTGCGAGTTTTTTCCCTCCTTAACTTTTAATAGCTGTTAAGGAATGCTAAATTTTGTGGAATCATTATAACGTGAAATTACTACTAGCCAGTTTTCATTGAGATCAGCATTTGCATGTTCTGATCAGTGTTGATGTATACATAGATTCAAATTTCCCATGCTTAATCTCTAGATTATTGTTTAGCTACGAAGAAGTACAAGAACATGCTCTTCTTTATAATTATTAATATTAAATGCATACATGAAATGCATTACTGAAGATGATAAATTGTATGAATTATGTTTAGTAGCAATTGCTTTGGCCACCTTCTGTTTTTTACATAATATTTCTCTTCGAAAATCATATTGTCAAGAAAGGAATATGATTTATTTATGACTTCTGGGAGGAAATTATTTTTCATTAAATTTCCTAGAAATTGTAAATAAATATTTAACTATAATAAACATTGATGAAAAGTTGTTTACCAGCAGAATATTTGAAATGATTGAAAGTTGGAAGAAAATTTAAAAAGTTTTTCAATACAGATTTCCTTACTTTTCTGCTGTTCTTACAGAACTGCCTTTCTATATGGAAAGAATTACAGCATCAGAAAAAGTTTTGCTGAAATGTGATTGTATTGTAGATATTTGAAAATGAACTGTTTTGTCCATACAGTTATGTTAACACATTAGTGATGGGCTATGAAAAATTCTGTTCAGTAGTCATGGAGTTATGAATTACCACAGAGAATATTTGTTTACATTATAACTAGGACTACAGCCTTCAAGATGCTCACGATCTTGTCCAATTTAAAAAGCATGTGTTTTGTGTATTGTTTGCCTCGTTACTTGCATAATAGTCTTTAATATTTTGAATAAAAAACTTTCTAATTAATAAAAATAATCATTAAAATGCAAAATTTATTTTTGGCTCAATGTTGATTTATGCCCAGATTATACTAAAATTGCCAAACCTTACTCCATTTAAGTACTAAAGTTATATGTTCTTAAGGTTGCACATATTTTAACCTTGGAAGATGTTGGGCACAAATGTACCCCGTTTTCTTTCCTGTAAAAACATGTTTTAAATAACTCGCTTGAGACTGTTGGTAATAATTCAATAGTCTGATGTACAAATGTATTTATTTATTGTAAAGGCAACTTTAAACATAGTTTGTGGGACTCTTAGTAAGCATACTACTTTTTGGATAGATAAATTACAGAAATTTAAGAAAGAAAAGAAAATGATCTATATCCAATACTGCAGTTATATTTTAATCAGTATTGCAATCAACTTTATGAAAAGAAAAAATGTAAGCTCTCAAAAAACAAATTTTAATTAACTATCAAATATTAGAATCTATATATAAAAAGTATTTTGCTTCTATTAGGGACATAACAGGTCAAAGTGAATGCATTTATCTCATGCCCAACATATATTTTGTAAATGGAATTTATTTTACTGACATGTAGTTTGCATTTAAAACACACATTTGTATTTAAAGTTCCATGCCCAAATTCCTTAGACGTATGTTACAAAATCCCACATATTTAGCTTTCTTTAATTGACTTTTCTATCTTGTGAAGTTAAACAAAATTCATCTGCATCTTCAGAGTCTGAATCATTATTTTCTTGTATAATTTTTTGAAAATCCTTCTTTAATAGACTGCAGCTTTTGATGAAAAATAAATTGGCATGTTAATATACTCTGTGAAAAAATTATACCTAATATCACCTATGAAGTGCAAAAGTACTCCAGTGGAAAATTGTTTTCTTTTTAACCACTTTCTGAACATCATGATCTCCTGATGAAAGATTCCAAGCAGTACAAAGGAGTTTGTGTGACAATGTCATTTCTCCAATGGCTGCAGTATTAGATATAAAAGATTGTACCCTGCTGGTACACTTAAGGGTTAATTACCATATCTTGTTTCTTGTAACATTTATATTTTGACAGATCTGAGAGTTTCATGCCTGAAGTTACTGATTTAAGTCTTTCCAAATACATGCTGTTAACATTATTTATTGATCTTGAAACATGTTTTTGTTGCTTCCAGTTGTTCAGTCTTCTAAAATAAAAAGTTCAGTTGTCATTGTACACCAAACAAGTGTCATATATTTGAATTCACTTGAAGTAATTTTCAACCTAATAGAATATTGATCTGTGGTTTACTCATGTAGAATTTTCGAGTGAATAATTTTCTTGAAGCAGTCTGTACCCATTTTTATTCATGATTATGTAGAATCTATATAAGGTTGAATAATAGCTACGGAGAGTAATTTGAGGCACATATTGAAGGATAACTCTCTTCTGCAAAAGACTAGTGCTGAATTCTTTACTTTCTGAACCTCTAAAGACATAGAATACTTGCAATATGACATAAACAAAATTCTTTTTCTCAAAAGATGCAAGATGTGGCCGTTATGCAAGTTTTGAGGCATACATTGTGTAAAAAGATCATCTACCCTATAAAATGTGCAATAAAAAAATGTGTACTTCTAGGCCTTAATCATTTCTATATTTTTTAAGCAATTTTTATTTGCTACATAGGCTGTATTTTTACAGCAATTTTTTTCTGTTTTAACATAATTATCACTTGGTATCTGTGGTTTGTGAATGTTATTTTCATTACAAGATTCTTCATTCCATGCACTCATATGATCTGTTTGTATTTTAGGCATTCCTAACTTAAAATTAATTAATTGTAATTATTCATTTTGAAAAGTTCAATTCAACATTGTTGCACACATTGCAGTTTTATTTTTTCTTTAAATATTTAGTCACACATTTTGTATGTATGTGTGTGAGTATGTTAGAAACATTGATATTTGAGACCTGTGAATTATTTTTTAGTTGTAAAAACAAAAAAAGAAAATTTGCTCACCTTCTTCCATGAAGATGTGCTAAACCTAAAATGTAGTCATTTGAATGCTAGTTGTACTGGGATTGTATAAATTCGTGTTACTTTTCTGTTTACAAGGTCTAATTAATGGGGCCCAGTCACCAATGTGCTAACAATGTTAAGAAAATGTTGAAGTGTTATCAGTTGGCTGTGGAGTGAACTCTTGTTTTTTTTTTTTTTTTTATTTTTTAAATTTTTTTATGTTAGCATCTGAAGACAAAGTAATAAAGCTTTACTTTGTTAGAAGTTGTGTTAAGGTTTCCTTGTATATTATTTTGAGTTTTTGTTTTAAGATAAAATTTTGTCTTGTTTAAATGTTGACAAATAACTGTGATCTCCTGTAGATAGAAATCGAAGCATGTATCACTATGTTAGGAAAGATATATTGTGAGTGGATATATTTCTGTGTACCAGATTTCTAATTGTAGCAGTGAGAATGGCTTAGAGAATTCTGGCACTTATAAATAATTTTACTGTAGTATTCTTGGTGCACATGGATATTATTGCCATTTTACTTGGTACTAAAACAGGCTATCCCACTATTTTAATTACCGTGTGAATTACATATAATTAGTTGACTTTTTGTATATGCAATTAGAAATATTGAGAAACCATTATTATGAGCATAGTATAGTAAAGAAAACTATTGGTGAATGTAATCAATGTAAAATGAAGATTTTGTTACAGGTTATTATACAAGTTCAAAATTTTAAGATGGATATTTCTTATATTGCCATACTCTACTATGTGTAAACAAAATTCATGAATAATTAATTCATCATAAATTGTGATGCTTTTATATTGAGTGACAATATCTCATGTATAAGTCTACCATAAATAGGCTTATGAATCAGTGTAGTTTTGAGACACGGAGATAGTCAAAGTTTTTTTAATTTACCTGTGATTTTTGTTGTGTTTTGTGACCGCCAGTGGCTCATAGTAGAAAGTAAGAGACATAATGGTCTACGTGCATTATTAACTGCAATGAGTTACTAGCATTCCTATGTTCTTTCTGCTGTTTTTCTAGTGGTATATGGTTGCGTTCTTCAGATGCTAATATAACTCGTGTTTGACTGATGTGGGAATGTTACAAAGAGTTGTAATCTGGCTGTGATATACTTGTTACAAATTTGAAAGAGTGACACAGGTATAATAGTGTCACCTAAAACTCTTTAAGATAACTTTTTATCTTCTTGATACTCGTAACTGACAAATTTGTAATTAAAAATTTTCCATCAGTCATATTGTCATGCTTTTTTATGGTCATGATGTGGAGGCGTTAACAGTTTTGTTCCTAAAGAGTTGAATGCCTTCTAGGTCAAATGTGCATTTAAATGTGTCTTTATCACTAGTCATTAATGTTCAATTGTAAATTGGAGTTGCAGTATTCATCTGAATATAAAGTACACTTATAAAATTATCTGTCTATTCTTTTTTTAGAAGTGACAGGTTTCATTAGATAGTGAATCTTGAACATTTTGTGTCTCTTAACAATCGATCTGTTATACAGTTCATTGTATTGACTGCTCTATCTTTTACATTTTGTCTAAAAAAAATGATTCAAAGAATAAAGATCTTTATAATGTCCTTTTGTGTATTAATTTCAGAATGTCTGATTAAATACTTTTTAAAAATGAGTACATCATTAATTTAACTGAATTTGTTAATTAATAAATAAAATTCCAAGAATTTGCAGGGTTTTTTTTTGTTGTAAGAATGACCAGTTTGGGACCACCATTTGTCACAGGTGCTTGTTGATGACATCAAATTGTTTAATTGAACATCCCAACTGAACCTTTGTAGTGCTGGGTTGGGGAGTAAGTGAATGGGACTTGGATATACAGAAATGGTACTCTGAAGTTGGCACCTTCAGTTCTTTGGAAAAGGGGTGCCCAGTCAGGTACAGTATATCATCTTATTCCAGGAAAAGGTGTCTAATGTAGTGAAGTGTCCAAAAGAGAGAGTTTTTGTTGTATATTATTTAATTAGACAACTTAAATCAAATTTGGCTTGAAGAGAGGGGATTTTTTCAGCTTCGTTGTGCAATGTTACAGGGAATTACAGTTGAGTCTAGTGTTACATTACATTTTTAAACAATTCATAAATTAAATTTGTTAGAGATTGTAACAATGAGTTTATATAAACCTAAACTGATCAAT